AATTCTTCTTTCCTGTTCCTGGATCAGTTTGTCTCTTTTTTTGTCAGCTTCTTGTTTTTCTATAATGGTGTCTTCTAGATCACTTATTCTCCTTTCTGCCTCTTCAATCCGTGCATTGGAGGCCTCTAATTTATTATCTATCTCATTTATCGCATTTTTTAATTCTTCATGCCTATTTTTATTTTCCATTCTGTCTGTAGCCTTAGTTTCTTTGATGTCCGCTATGTTTTTTTCAAGTCCAGCTATTAATTTTACCATTATTATTCTAAAATCTTGTTAGTTATGCTGCCGATATCTGTTTTGAGCAGTTCACTAGCTGTCATTTCTTCTTGGAGTTTCTTTGGAGGAGAGCTCTTTCGTTTTGTCATTTTAGTTAGCTTTCCGGCTCTTGTTGGTTTTAAAGACCTGTTATGCTCTCTGTATCTATGAGCGCTGCTATATCCAAGAAGACTCTTTGAGTTTCTAGGGCCTATCCTTTCAGAGAGTGTTTTTTGAGTGGTATCTCTTGGTCTCTCTTGTTGGGACCTTGATTATTTTATTTTCCTATTCGTAGTGATATTTGGGACTCTCCACCTTGTGTACTCTGGCTTGTTTCTTGAGGTAGCCGTTAGAAGGCTTTCTCAGTGGATTCTGGGTCCTTTTTCTCTCAGTCTCTCAGGTTTTGTAAGGTTTCCTATGGCTTCAGATCTTTTCTGTGTGATGTATGGGTGCGAGTGCAAGTACGGAGCTCCTTACTTCTCCACCATCTTGCCCCTCCCCCACTGGACCCCAATATTCTTAGCCAACCTATGATTGCAATTGATGAACTTAATTTTCATTTAAGTTAACAGATAAAACAAAGGTGACTTAGTGAAGACATGCGTCAGAACTTCAGTTCTTCATCTATGGCATGAATGGCTGCTGAAGTAGCTAATAATTTTTGAATAATGTAAAGTACTGTAAGAATATTTCCTGAAACTTTTTGGGTTTTTTGTTTGTTTTTATTAACTCCCAATGTAATAGCTACAAAGATGATACCCTTTTGAGTTTAATCTGCCTTCTTAACATCTTCTCACTATATGAAAACAATAGTTTTTCCTAAGACTGGGTGAAATTGCCCTATGGACAGAAAATAATTACAAACTGTTAAGTGGAAACACCAAAAGATTTATGTAAAAAGTAAATCATAAAACTAGAAGCTCATAGAATATAGGCCACATTATTAACTTCAGGGAAACCTTAGCATTCAAGGTATAAGGTAAAAGTCATAATAATTATCAGGTTCAGGAGTTTGGAAGTACTTATGATGCCTCATTTGCTGCTCCTTAGTCTTTCTCCTGATTTACATCATCTGTCCTAGGAACTTTTCCACAACATCTCCCACTTCATTGTGATCCATATGCCTGTCTTGTATGGCCCATCAAAAATTAGGGACAAATCATTTCACTCGCCCCAGCTTGATATTTCCTCCAGGATTCTGGCCTTCACACCCTCCCAAACTGCATGATTCCTCTCTATTCTGCATGGGGCCCTGTTCTCCTCCTTCACTTTCCTGTTGGGCATTTTCCATGTTGACATTTTTCACCATTCGTTTCTCTTTGGATGTCATTACTCCTGGGCCTATCTTTGCAGTCTCCTCCTTCTCCCAATTCTAACCACCAGTGTGGTGCTAAGACTTAGATGCTCACACTTGGTTCCCCTCCACCTCCTACTGTTTGGGCCCACCCCTGGCTCATATGCCCTCAGGGCCACCCGAAGCAGGTACTGAGAAGGGAGCAATGCGGCAAGCAATGGCCTGGTCTGGACAAGGGATTTTAATTAAAATGCAGAAGTTTAACATTTGGCATAAAATAGATAATATAGTAACCCAATTGGAATACTCTCAAATACTAGTACTAGAAATTCTGAAAATGTGTCTAGAAGAGATAGATATTATGACAGCATTTACAAGATATTAATAATTATTTTATACATGGGATAGTAATTTACATTGTATGAAGGTTTTATAATATGAAAGAGGCTTTATGTAAGTTGCTGTTTTAAACATCAAAACTGTATTTGGTGTTTGAATTCCTATTTTCATTGTTACACTTTAGGAATTTAAATCTCAGAGAGGTCAACTTTTATTTTTAAAGTTTTCTTTAAGTTTATTTATTGAGAGAGAGAGAAAATGCACACACGTAAGGGAGACACAGAGAGAGAAGGAGAGAGAAAGAATCCCAAGCAGGCTTCACACTGTCAGCACAGACCCCAGTGTGAAGGTCCAAACCATGGGACCATGATCTGGACTGAAATCAAGAGCCAGATGCTTAACTGACTAAGAAATCCAGGAACCCTGAAAGGTTAACTTTTTAAAGTCACGTGCCTCCTAAGTGATTCATCTTGAACCCAAATCTCATGAAGATAGCCACTTAAGAGACTCTAGATAAAGGGCACCTCATCAAGCATAATAACACAGAGGACATTATGCAGAGAGATACTGAGATTCCTGAGAGTCCCTTTGGGCTACCCAAACTTACCAGTTTCCTCTGGTCTGGTTATTTGGTTTTGTTTCGATAAAGAAAGTCTAGTTCTGATTCTTCCTAGACCATATGCCAGCAGGTCAGGTTACTTCTATGAAGTATATCCTCCAATTTGCATGGTTTTTAACCAACCAATCCGCAGATATTTGTTGCATAGCTGTGAACAAGATCTTATGCTGGGTGCTTGGAATTATTCTTTCCCCTCTCCATGCACTTGAGAACACTCTTGCTTTTCCTTGTGAGGAGATGGAAAGCAAGTCATAATCATTTGTATGGCAAGTCTACCCCTAGCTGAATTATAAAAGTTTAATGTTTAGATACAGGTTATATTTTAGTTTGATGGGTTTTCCTCCCTAGTTAGAGTTAGTAATTTATAATTGGGATGCTTTTTGGGGGGGATCTAATTTGTTTAAAAATGTTTAGAGGTAATGTAATTTCTCTCTTCTGTTTCATGATTTGTAATCTTGTTAATCTCCTTCTAATCAATCAAAATGAGTAAAAACTGCAATTACACAGTTTTACTGTAGAACTAATTGGATCTGATCATGCATCCTCCTTATAATTGGTTCCTCAAATGGGGTATATGATATTCTAACATCTCACTCAAGTATGCACTTAAATATTTTCAACCTTCAATAAATTCAAAAACTTTACTTTTCAATTAATCCTTTTATATTCATTTCAGATTTATCCAGTCTAACTGATATGAATAGATTCCTATCAAGTCAATAGGAAGACAACATATTTTTTTGCCTTTAAAAATATATTCAATTTTAACCTCAGCTTTATTTTTTTAACTCATTAATTTATTTTTTAATTTACATACAGCTTAGTTAGCATATAGCGCATCAATGATTTCAGGAGTAGATTCCAGTGATTCATCCCCTATGTAAAATGCCCAGTGCTCATCCCAACAAGTGTCTTCCTTGATGCCCCTTGCCCATTTAGCCCATCCCCTCTCCTACAACTCCTCCAGCAACCCTCTGTTTGTTCTCTTTATTTAAGAGTCTCATATGTTTTCCCCTCCTTGTTTTCATATTATTTTGCTTCCTTTCCCTTATGTTCATCTGTTTTATATCTTAAATTCCTTATATGAGTGAAGTCATATGATATTTGTCTTACTCTGACTATTTTCACTTAACAGAATACCCTTTAGTTCCATACATGTGGTTGCAAATAGCAAGATTTCATTTTTGATTGCCAACTAATACTCCATTGCATATATACATAGCACATCTTCATCGTTCATTCATCCACCAGTGGACATTTGGGCTCTTTCCATACACTGATTATTGTTGATAGCACTGCTATAAACATTGGGGTCCATGTGCCCCTTCAAAACAGTGCACCTGTATCCCTTCAATAAATACCTAGTAGTGCAGTTGCTGGCTCATAGGGTAGTTCTTTTTTCAATTTTTTGAGGAATCTCCATACTGTTTTCCAGAGTGGTGTGCCAGATTGCATTCTCACCAGCAGTGCAAAAGAGATCCCCTTTCGCCACATCCTTGCCAACATCTATTGTTGCCTGTGTTGTTAATTTTACCCATTTTGACTGCTGGGAGGTGGTATCTCATTGTGGTTTTAATTTGTATTCTCCTGATGATGAGTGATGTTGAACATTTTTTTCATGTGAGGAGACAACACATTTTGACTGGAGTTTTTTAATTTATGCAAAAAAAACCCCATTTGGCTTCAAATATATCTTTTCATGTACTAAACCACAAGAAAACCAACAAACACTTTTCAAATTTATAGAAGACTTTCTGTACTTTTATTATTAGTACTCTAATGATAATACTCAGAAAATGGAGTATAAAGTAACTATAATATAACACACTTGAGTTAATGAAGTCACTGCAGTACACAATAGTAGTGTTTCATTTGTCAGGACTCCTTAGTTGGTTAGAACCTACTGAGACATGTGAATTTTGGGTGAAGTGCAAGCAACCAGTGCCAGTGAAACCATCCCACTATCCAACATGATAATTACTTTTCTTCTGTGGTTCTTTGTTGCACATTCATTTTAAAAAAATTTATTGACTATCTGCTTGAATGCCAAGCACTCGTGTAAGTTCTGGGAATGAAAAGTACTGAACAAGACATACAAGGTCTCTGTTTTCATGGAGACTATCATTTAGAAGAGCAGACCTAAAAATCTAGTAAAAACAGAAATGATTAAGATAATATCAAAGAGATAGACTTGTAATGAAGGTGGTATTGCAGAGCAATGGGATAGAAAATGACTGGGGTAGCTCTACATGAGATTGCTGGTGATGTCCCCTCTGAGGGAGTGACATTTTGCTGAGACTTGAATAACAAAAGACAACTATTATGGAACACTCTGTTAGCGTTCACACAGATGCTGCTTATTTATGCTTTAATGGTTAGTATAGAGTGATGCTTCCCATTAATAGTTTTAGAAATGTGATAGTTTTCTCACACTGTTGTGACTTTATTCCAGCACATCCTGATTATTTTTTAAAAATACTTTATTTTTTGCCACTTCTAAGGATACGGTGCTAATTTCCTTAGGAGCTCCTTTGAAACTTGAATACTGATGGATAATTTCACAAATACCATTATGCCTCTAGTTATGTCACTTTCTTACAGCAATGGCAGTGCAAATGCGGGAGCGCTGCTGTGGAAATCACGGGACACTAAAACCTGTCTAGCTCTGTTTTGGAGACCAGGTTAAGATTTTCTGAAATAAGAGACTTCTAAATTGGATCCTGAAGAACAAAGAGAAGTTTCCCAGAGAAAGGAGCAGGGGAGCAGGAGAGAAAACTCTTCTACAAGGAGGAACATGTGCAAAGGCCACCAGGGGAGAGAACATGGTACATTTAAGAAACCAAATATAATCTGCATTTGGCAGGATTATATAGCACACAAGAGGTAAAGTGATGAGAGAGGTTGCTAGCAGAATGAGCAGAAGTCAATAACAGAGAGTCTAGTAAGGCTTGTGAAAGAGGTAGGAATTTAGGGCTGAATAAAAGGAAAATACCCATTCATTCATTCAACATTTTTATTAAATAATTCCTATGCACCATGTACTATTCTAGGCAATGGGAATATATCAGTGAACAGACAGAAATCCCTGCTCTCATTCTGTCTATACAGGCAAGGGAAAATAGATAATAAACACAAGAAATTCTTTTTTTTTCTTTTTTGGCTACTTTTCTTTCTTTCTCTCTTTCTCTTTTCTTTCTTGAATATAGTTGACACACAATATCATATTAGTCTCAGGTGTAAAACATAGTGATTGGCAAATTTATATACTATGCTGTACTCACCACAAGTGTAGCTACCATCTGTCACCATACAACACTATTACACTATCATTAAAAGTATTCTTTATGCTGTGCCTTTTGTTTCCATGACTTATTCATCCATAACTAGAAGCCTGTGTCTCCCACTCCCCTTGCCCAGTCTCCTCTCCACACTGGCAGCCATCAGTTTGTTCTCTGTATTTTTACGCCTCATTCTGCCTTTTGTTTGTTGGTTCATTTGGGTTTTTTTTTTTTTAAGATTCCACACATAAATGAAATCATATGGTATTTGTCTTCTTCAGTCTGACTTATTTCACTTAGCATAATACCTTCTGCTTTCATCCATGGTAACTCAAATGGCACGATCTCATCCTTTTTTATGGCTAAGTAATATTAATCAAGTAAAATGGTAAGGTTTTGAGGATTTTTGAGCCTGATATAATATGGAAGCAATTTTTCAACTGGAAACACACAAGAGTTTATAAGCTAATACCAAAAAATATATATGTTGTTGGCAGTGGCACTTGAGACTTTGGCATACTCTTCACTTCTCTGAGTGAAACTAAACTCCCGTTTCTCAGACACAAGGACTGTCTTTTCCTTCCTCCTCTACCCTTTCTGATCAGGACTGCTGTATAACCATGAATCCCACGAATTCTCAATAGTAAGTGTTAATTAAATAGAAAGAGACTATTAGCCAAATTGGTAGCAAGAGTGCTATGAATATCTTAAAGCTATTTGTAAGTCAGTGAAGTTATATTGTTTCACAGAGATTCTTTAATAATATGCCTGTAAGCTAGGGCTGCAGCATCCAAACTTCT